TAGCCCACCGAGAATATCCATAGAAAATCCCCAGGATATCCTCAAAATGCAATCTTTTAAGTTGGATATGTGCAATATCTTAGAGTGATCCTAGGGACGTTCTCAAATCCTGGGATCTATGTCGAAACTGGTCAGGATCCTGTGCTGTGTGGGAAAGCTGTATTCGGTAGCATATTTTGAGAAGTACTTGAGTTAATAGTGGATATTAGGAAAAAAGGATATCGTGGATATTCTAGGGATATGCCAAAGATATTCCTGTCCCTCGATCAAAAACCCTCAAAAAAATTAAATTATAATTATTGTAACAGGAATATGCCAGGAATGTCCCAGGGATATTCCTGTATCTCATGGGATATTGGGACGTTTTGGGAACTCTGTGGGATATCCTGAGCATATTCTGTGCTATGTGGGGTATAATTTAGTTACAGAAATAGCATATTAAGCATCGAAGAAGTCGGTAATTTCAAGATTAGCCTACTTGTGATATTTGTGCACGAACCGAAATGTATACAGCGTATTTTTTAATGATAATTAATTATTTTATCGTTCAATTTAATAATCCTTAGATTTGAAAAAATATGCCTAAGAATTCTGTCCTTAGGTCTCAAACACATCACAATACGGAATTCCATGACTTCCAGCGCTCTCTTTGACTGAACGTACCCTAAAGGATGCATGCCACTGTGTAGAAATGAGCTCGCTATTTAAGTGACGTCATAGAGTGTCTAGTATTTATATTGAAGTCAAAGAAAATGGAATAGTATTTGTTAATATTATTTTATGAAACGATTTTACGACACGAGTAGAAAATTTAAGGCACGAGCCTTGGCAATTGCCTTAAAAACCTCTATGAGTGTATTCGGCTTTACCTACGACCGTTCTTAATTACTAACAATCTGGGTTTTTAATTACTAACAATCACTACTCATAACTTCCAGAGAGGTCATGTTTTTGTTTATTGTCATTGCCACTGAAAGTGATGCAACGACTTATTGTATAATCAGCTGATCTCAAGTAATTACGTGTTTGTAAAACTTCGTTAAATAATACGTTACTTTTTCAGGGAATAGGTTCTGCTAGCAGCATTCTTACCATAAATATAGTATCAGGTACAATTAGGGAAATATTTCATATTTTTTGGACAACTGAATACTATAGTGAAACATTTAATTTACAGTTAGATTTCAGCATCGAATATGTGGTCCACAACGAGTTGGGTGAAAAAGTGTTCAAGAGGTTTTCAAAATAAACCTGAAGCACATTTTCATTAATCAATTTAACCTTATTTTGTTTCGTCCATTTAATGAATTGCTGGTATGTAATTTCATACCTTTGTTTCGATATTGGTGGCAAAAGATTAGCACAAAAAATTGGTGGTCTCATTTCCATCTCAACAACTTCACTTTCACTAATTTAAATCAGTTCAATCAACCTTCCTTTAACTGCCGCCAACTTAGGTGAAGAATACGCGAGTATCAACAGGAACATGTCGGATCAACAATTAAAATTGTCAACTGATCAGCTGATTAGTTGATATTCAAAGCATTACAATTTTATTTCTTTTCTCTCAACCCTTGAACCTCATTGGTCCGTTAACCGTGTTGTGAGAGAAACTATGCTGTTATGAAAGTAAACAGCTGTTAAGTGAAACTTTTCAATTCTAAGAACTGAACTGAAATGGTTACTGTAAAAACGGTGGTAGGTAAAACCTTAAAAATCATTAAATAACTCACAATTAATAATAAATATAATAGTCTTGATGACTCAGCCAACGCTAAATTAATTGCTATACAGGGTGATCAAAAAAGTGAAGACATAATTTACACAGTGATTCGGGTAAAATAAAGTGAAAATCTAGAATAAAACTGTTTTCCAAAATCGCTTCGTTACCCAGATATCCGCCATTTTGTTTTTTACGTAAACAATTTCATCTTTGGATTTTTTTCAAATGATCTTTATGAAACTTGAAAATGAGACCCGTAAAAATTCACCTTGTTTCAACTTAAATTTTAAAAATGACGGTCATTTTAAGTTTTTTTTTTAAATTACTTTACTAAATAATGGCTCATTTTATGAAAAAATTTCAAGAACACTTTTATTTAAAATTTTAAATTCCCATCAAACAATAAAAAGTTCAAAATCCAATGTTGAATAAGAAATATCTGAAATATTAGATTTTTATATGTAAAATGGCGCATACCTGACTAGATTAGTCTTATTCTACCCATTGAAGTAAATAATACTTCTACCCCATTTTTACAACTAAAAAACGTAATATTTTAGCTATTTCTTTTATATTTTAAAACTTGGCATCGTTTTAAAGATATCGTAGTTCTGGATGAAAACTCAAACTTTTCTTTGTTTCCTAATATAATAGTATTGGTTTCATATTTTTCAATTGATTTATAGTGCAATCGAATTTATTATCTATACAATAAAATATTGTATTTAATATTTTATAATTATTTTTATTCTAAATTATAATTTTTTATTCTGTTTTTATAATTTTTATATAATGAATTGAATTTTTGTGTTTTTATTATTGATTATCTTGTACTAATTTGATTTATTGTATATTTAGTGAACTGGCAACAATATACCGAGTAAACATCTTAATATGGATGCAAAACTGTATTAGTGCTCTGAGTATCGATAAAATAGACATTTTATCTTCATGTGCAAATTGAAACCAGTTTAAAAACAAAAAAAATATGTTAAACTACCTAGAAAATAAATAAATTACTTTATTGTCTTGACAATATACATTGTATCGTTCACAGTACAATTAATTAATGCTTAGGTTTAGTACTAAATTAAACCCTTTATAATTTCATTTTTTAATTTTGGTGCATTTTTCATTGTAGTCTTCAATAGAATAAATCGGATCTTCAGTAAGGATTTGTTTTATTTTTTTTTGTATTCTTTTAATTTTAAGTTTGGAATATTAGTTGGTAATTTGTTAAATAATTTTCTTCCATTGTAATAAAGATTTTTTCATAAAATTTGTTTTGTAGAAAGTAGAAGAAAATATTTGTAATTTTCTCAAATCATAATTCTTCTTACATAATTCATCATTTTTCCAGAATTTCTCAAAATTGTTTTTTTAAAAATAGTAACGATTTGTAAATATATATTTAGTAAAAGGTCATAAACTGGTATTTTTTAAATATGTTTTCAGGATTGGCGTGGTTTCAATTTAAAAATAATTCTTAATGAAGACTTTTGTAATATTTGTTTAGTTTTTGATGAAGTTGAGTCCCATACAGGTATTGCATATCTAATGTTGGAAATAATTAATGAATGATATACAGTAAGTTATGCGTCTTAACTATAGAACATAGACAATCTTCTTAGTGTATACAAATAATTTGGGAAAGTTTTTTACATAAGTGCTCAGTATGTGAGTTACAATTTGAATTTTTGTCTATAATAAGTCCTAGGAATTTGATTGTTTCTACTTCTTCTATATGTTGATCATCAATTAAAATATTTAAGTTGAAATATTTTTTTGTTTTATCTCTGATTCAAAAATTTATAAATTTTGTTTTATTTACATTAATTTCTAAATTGTTTTCTATGAAGCATTGTGCTAGTTAATTTGCTTCTTTATAACATTTAATTTCCAATTCTTCTCTATATTGGCTGGTTGTCAATATGGTCGTGTAATCAGCAAATAATATCACTTTGGTTAATTTTCTTGAATTTGTCACATTATTTATTTATATATTATAAATAAAATTGGACCTAGTACAGGACCTTGTGGGACACCTGATTTTGTTTCAAAATTTTCTGAACTATAAAGTTTTACATAATTATTATTATCAATAAATGGAATTTGGACTGACTGTTGCCTGTTATCTGAAGCTTGTTTTCATGTGTTTCGTGCTGAGGGTGTTTTGGTGCACTGATATTGACTGGATGTTTCTCTTTCATGTTTTGGTATATTTTACAATGTGTCTTTCAAAATCTGCTTTGGTTACAAAAAGTATTTTTTTAGTTTGATCGTTTTATTTAGTCCAAATTGTTTGTATAATTTGTTAAGTAAAAAAAAACGCCCCATACATAAACTTTAAGGAATCAACATAAAAATTCTTCATCTGATCTATTAGAACGGGGAATCTAGTAGCAGTAGGCATTTTCTCACACTGTAAATCTAGTTTAAATCAAGCTCCCATGTGTTGATTCTGCAGTTCTGGATTTCAAAGATATAATATACTTGCAGAAAACCCCATTTCCAACCATGAACCATGCATTTTGTTTATGCTAATTGACTTTATAACTAAAGTAATAACTCTCTTAACTATCCAAAGTCAATGGTTCATAATAATTCTATTTGTTTATTTACTTTGTAGCAAATAATGCTCAACGGTATCAATCCTTCTCTATTTTGTAATGTAGTAGTTTAGATTATTTATTGATAAACATATGTTACAACTTTTGTGTACCTTTTTATTGTTACCTTACAAATACTACAATCAATTTACCTTCTAAGATCCATGTTCAATTTATATTTTGGTGAAGGGAAAAGCCCATAGACCGCTATGTACCATTTCGGCTATATGCAGTCTCATAGTTACAATGTCTGTACTCAATTTCATGCGGATCACTTCAGCCGTTCAGAAGGTATTTGTAAAACAAAAGCAGGAGAGTAGTTTAAGAGCTTCGCTCACTCCGCTCAAAGGAGAAAAACACGCTTATTAGCTTCAGGTTTGATGAGAGAATAGAGGCGTGGTGGTTGATGGTAATAGCTGCAGTCATAGTGCATGCCTGGCAATCATTAGATCAAGTCCAGAGTAAAGTTAGTAGAATTTTCATTTTTGGTCCTAGTGCTTTCATAAGTTATCCTGACCAAAGAAACAGCTGATCTTACTTTAGGAACTCACTTTTCTCACACTCATCTTCATTCATATTAAGTTAACACACCTAGATGAGTCTACATCTTCAACAGTGATATAGAGTGATATAGGTACATGGCGGTGGGTGAGGGTGGTTTAGGGGGGTCAGAGGGGGCGCCGTGGCGCTGGAGGGGGGGCAGAAGTATTGATCAGGCGACGCCGGAACTGAGTCAATAAGACTTGGCCCATTCACCGTAGTGAGGACCTAGAGTGCGGACGAGCGGGGATGGGTAGCGTGTGTTCTCAGTCATGACAAGCTCCGCGGTGACAGTGTCGTTGTAGAGTGTCTGTAATCTGTAGTGATCCAACATGCCGAAGCCGACGCCCGTGGAGGACCTGGTGATCCCACCGCAGGACAACCGCATCTGCGGCACGATCTGCATGTGTCAGATGACAGCTGTGTTGAGCAGCGTGGCGCTGGTGTACCTCACTGTGGCCATATACATGCCGAGCTTCAGAGCGTTCAAGTCAGGCATCACCGAGGTGCCGGCTATGTGCACCACCACGAGGGCGGTGACCAAGGACAACTGTGACTGGGGCTCGTGTGGAGAGTGGTGCCTCAGCAAGACATCCGGAGCCTGCATGCAGATCTACGTGAACCTGAGGAACAACGGATCTAGCTTACTGTTCGCCAACTGTACCAACACGGCGAATAAGACGTGTTACGGGATAGACCAGGAGAACGCCAAGAAGAGCCGGTGTATCGCCGACGAGTGCCGCAACCTGACCGGAACCTTCAACTGCACCATGGGCACCTGCATCAACATCACCGACGCCTTCGAGTGCGTCTTCAGAGAGACAGACGCGCCGCTAAAATGTTCCGGGAGACGAGGTAAAATAAACTGTATAGATATAGACGGGCTGCAGCATTGCACCCGAGGGACGTGTGAGAGGATCAGATCCCCGTACAACTGTGACCGGCGCTGTCTCGACATCCCCACTCGTAACAAAAACGTGATCGTGCTGAATGGCGACAAAGTGTATCTCTCACATTGCCAGCGAGCTATAAACGTAGAGACAGACTCGGAGATATGGAACGAGACCAGAGAGAATGTGTTGATGGCGAGCTGCTTCACGATAGAAAACAGCTCCGCGGGAGGTATTACCGCGTCGGACTGCATCAACGGCTCAGTTCTGGAGAAGAACTTGCTAAGTGATCTGACCAACTTCACGTACCTGACCTACCTCCACGTGCATCACACCAAGATACTAGACGAGACTAGGATGGTAGCACCTCCAGAACCCGACCTGTTGATCGCCAACGAGAGCAAGTTGCTGATTAACCTGGAGGGCTGCGTTAATACACTGAAGGACGAGTGCCGTGAGTTCCTCAGAGAGTACGGAAAGGACGGGTCCGACCACAACGCGCGCGCTCGCTTCCCTTGTTTCTTCTCGGAGCAGGATACGGACACCGTGGTGGCGCGGTTCAGTCTGGAGAAGACCTATAACGAGTTCCTGATCGCCTCGATAGTGCCTTCCTGTCTGTTCGTGATCTCATGTATCACGCTGATCCTGTGCCAGAGGACAGTGGAGGTGGGCGACGACGCGAGGATGAGGTTCAAGAAGAGGAGTAAGTCGTCGGAGAACAACAAGGATGGAGGAGCCAGCGACGCGGGAGGGGGGGACCACGCCATGGCCCTCTGAGATCCGTCGCGTAAGATCGTCTTTAAGTTCAACTGTTAGATGTATGGGATAATCAAAAGCAACAACAATTTAGACTTCAAACAAATGTTAAAACATAAAATAAAATTGTGATTTATGTTCAGTAATTACATAAGTCAGCAAAGTATGGTAAAGTCTTGGAGTCTCTTAGATTTACAATTTTAATCGTTTACAAGGATTCCAGAATTGCAAAAAATAGTTTAATTATCGTTCATATGTCATTAAAGACCCCTGAGAATCAATGAATGATTTCATTGAAGTTCTTACACATTTCAATATTTATTTTTTTAATAGCAATATTTACCAAAACTCCAAGAAAATGCTATACTGTATTTACTTAGGAAGGTTAGGATCAAATAATTAGTCAAGGTGCCTAGAGTTTGACTACGATGATAGTAGCTGACGATCGATTCAATCATCTTCAAGTTAGACTGAGCAATAAAATGAACAAACTAACAAAAAAGACTTATCTAGGGACATAAACCTGTTCATATACTTTTTTATGAAATTTTCCAAATTTTTACCAAATTTCCAATAGTCATTTTAAGTAGATAAATTAACATTATAGTGATATCAATCAATTATATCAATTAATTTAAATGGGAACGCCACTGTGCGTATTTTAACCCAAATATGAGTGAAGGATGAGTGTAGTATGAGTGGGGCGATCTTGTAGTCTTGTTAGTGACTAAGGCCGACATGTTCCTTAGACCATAGACTTAGACACAGCTGTTAATTAATAGCCCATACAGGCAATGGCAACTAAGGGACCTCCAGTTTATAGTGGAATCCGAACCACATTTTTGCCTCGTAATTAACGAAGGGGTCTAATTATCAGGATAGTACTCAGGGCAGCCGTATTAATAACAAGTGCAGACGCTAATCCACACGTTAGATTTACATTCTAAAATAATCATAAAATACAACAAAGTCGTCGGCCATGTAACCATCCCAAAAAAACATCATAACAAATAATGGGGAGTGCCCCATAAGAAGTTATCTATCTCATAAGAAACAGTTAACTATTGGTTCACTTTACGTCAGACGCGCTGAATATCCGTAAAACATACAGCTATCGAGTACCATAACCAATAATTGACAAAGCTTTCACCGAATCTAAAAACAGATACAGCTACTTCTTCTTTTAATGGCTCACTAAAAAATGAATGGAACCGTGCAAACACGTCGGCTTTGATAGAAGGTTGACATTTAGTTAAAAGGTTGCCCCGTCACTCACTTGAAGCAAGAACTCTTCTATTGATCTGCCCAGTGCTGCTATCATTTTAACCCAACTTCCCACTATTATTTTTTAACAGCTTGTTTGGTCAAAGCCACTGTGTGTATTTTTTAGTTGAATAAACTCATACATTTGAGGATAATCACATTTTCACCACTAGTAATTGCATAATGCAGTTTTTACAAATCATCAATGGTGTTGTATACGCCACCGGCTTTTTTAACATTTTTTTTCGGGGAACGATCCAAACCTTTGTATAAGAATTCAAAAGAGTGAGTCTACATATAAAAGTCTATGTTAGGTGAATTATCTCCTCTTTTTAAATTTTTTAATAAATCCAAAATAATCAAGCCTTATGTCAACAATACCAAACTATCTATGAATGTGTATGACAATAAATAATGACCCTTAAAATATTTTTTTATTTTTCTACTTATATTCTTAGGGGCAATGACACAATGTTTCACATTAACCTGAATATGAGGGAGGATCGGTGTATTGAAGTGCGAGGACATATGCAGCTTTGTTGTTGTTTACGACTATCTGTTATTCAGCCATGATCGTTTATTAATCAGGAATGGTCGAGGACCAAAAGGCTAGCTTTTCTAAGAATCCACTGAACACCTTGGGGAAGTTACGTAAGAGCTTTAACCACTCAGCCACCCAGCAATCGATGGCAGTTAAATTTGTAATGTTGTTTTAAGTAACTAGTCTAAAGACTGAACCTTTTAGTAACTATAGTTTATCTGTTGTCAGAGAGAATCAAGTGCTTTATAGGTGTTAAACTTGTACTAATCCATAATCCGATTCACCTCACATTATCAGTAACCCCTCTGTTGCAGGCATTCCCCTCCTGCAGGACAGTCCGACGCACCAGCACGTTTTCTCACTTCAAGACTACTAATTTCTTCTCTCGCTTGGCTCACGGCATCGCTTAGTGCGCGGTGCGGCAGGGGAACGCGTCACAGGATCTCTTATCGCTCGAACTGTGTCACAGTAGTGGACTCGTGTAGTGTAGTGTTACAGACAGCCTCACCATTGATTCGGACGAGACCACGGTCATCATGGGGGCGGAGGAGAAGGAAGAGGAGCCGTTGCAGATAGAGACGCTCCTGGAAAAGGCCAAGTTCTATACGTCCTTGTGCCTCGGTACGACCGCGATACTCTCGGTGTTTGCTTTCCTCTTCCTCATCCCCTTCGTCGTGGACCCCGCCATCTCGACGATCCTTGCAGACTACGAAGGGACCCCCGTCACATGCGTGGCCGTGGAGCACGTGTACGCCGAGGGTCTCAGCAACTGCTCCTGGACGTCGTGCAAAGAAGGCTGCACCTCCTCGGCGCTGCGGTGTCACCAGATACTGGTCAACTACAGCAGAGTCACCTTCGAGGAGTTCTCTAAGGTGGGTTGAGATTTAAGGCTTTTGACTACGCTAGTGTCATTTTAGATTGAGAATAACACACGATTTGAAGGGAAAGCGGTCTAAACCCGTATGCCTACATTTAGTTGATATGTCAGTTATACTCGTGCTTCCCGCGCCGAAGTCCAAGTGAAGCTAGCTAATGGCTAGCATCTTGGACTTCAGGCTCGCAATCAACCCAGAAATTTGTCTTTACGTTTAGTAAATAATTTCTTGATTAGTTGCATAGTTTCAAAAATATCATTAAAGGCAGTAGCATTGCCATTTATGTTGCAGTAGAACTAAGTAGTATAACTTAGGTTCTACTGCAACATAAATGGTTTTGTGTCAGATACTAGTGGTAAATAGTATCTAGCAAGAACGCCATTTTGATTATCTTAGTCTCAAATCAGGGCTGATGATTACTGAGGTTACTGGTCGCAATTGACAGCCGATGCATTGTATAAATATTATACTTAACATGCATGTTTATTTAATGCAAGTATAAAGTTGTGTTTGAAGACGTATTTTACTGCATAAATATTAATAAATTAATGTCAGCCTTAAATCTTATTGTTACCTGCATACAATGGAAAATACATATCATCGTTCTAATTTACAAATTTTAAGTTTTACTTAAACTTGTGTAAAGCTAGAAGAAAAGATAGATTACTCGTTTAGAACACGGATTAACATTGATTTATCTAATAATATGACTGTATAAAACATCAAAAAAGAACTTGTATAAGAGGCGTCCTATTAAATTACTTAAACGAACCGTTTTGCAAAACCAACACTTCAACTCAAATACCTATCAGTGAGGTCGTGATTTCTTTCAATTGTATTCATTAGTAGAACAAACATGTAACACCCCACTTAACCCAGTTGCAGCTGCAAATGCAGCAGAACACAATAGGATCATGAAGCCCTTCATATAATTGATTACTGTTGATTGTAGCGTCCCTCTCACTGTTGACCTGAATTCGTTCAGTCTAATACATTACATTATTTCAGTCGTGTTTTCTAGTTAAGTTAACAAGAAGAACTTGTCCCTGTAATATTTTATTTACTCGGGAAACATTTTATATGACATAAAAGGTCGTTCTTTCTTGTTTATCTTACAAACGTATCTTATTAACATGCCGTTCATTGGAACTAAATTGACAGTATTAACTTAGTTGTTTTTTTTCTGTAAAGCGATACCTACCAAGTAAGAGTCAAGCCATTTTTCCTCAAGAGCTAACTCGTGAATCAGTATTTAAGCTTTTAAATAGAAACTCATTCACAATCCATATTGTTTGTACTTGGTCACAACATAAATTTAATGGAATTAAGTGTATCATCAGCACTAAGCTGTTGGAAATCATAAAATAATTGTATTTTCAGGGATTATTTGGGATTCAGTAGCATTTAATAACATTACAAGATTTAATCATATTTTAAAATACAATAACCTTTAGACATTCAATATTTTAACAATTAAAAACTGTTGAATACGCAAAAGGTACGCTTTTCGCAGTGATACAACCATAATCCATACAAGGAGGTTGAAAAATCTGCTCTCACTATCGTCTGTTCTCAAATAATGAGCAGTGTGAGTGGAAGTTCCCGCACTACCTCTTTTGCTCATTGTAGCCTATATGTTGCAGCTGAATGACATATTGACAAACCTGAATTATTGAGTTATTGTTTCAAAGGCATTATCGAGTAGAGAGGGGGTAGATTTCTTCCCCTTAAACCACCGATTTTTTTTGAACGTAGAGAACATATGTGATGGTACGAGTTTTGTTTTACACAATTGATTCTGTGTCATTGGACATATGTGATAGTATGAGTTTTGTTTGACACAATGGAATCTGTGTGATCTAAATTAAACCATAAACGTATCAAGGGTCAACAGCAGTGATAGACTTATTTCTACCCAAAGTCTCGCCACATTTCATTTCCCGTGTTCCAGGGCAACATGGACATAAACTCGCTGGAGTGGGACGTAGGGGAGACGAGATTCTTCATCAACACAGAAGGCTGTGGGTATCCTCCCAGAGTGAACTGTTCGGAGTTCGCTAAGAAGTACGGCTACCAGCACCTCGGTACCCCCTTCCCCTGCTTCTACAGTAGGACTTACCCCGACATGGTAGTGGCGAGGTATTCCTGGGACGACAACCTGAGACACTTAGTGTTGTCCCTGGTCATCCCCAACGTCCTGTTCGGCGTCTCCATCGGGGTGCTGAGCTACTGGTACTGCCCGGGCTGTAACCGTACCGGGTGCGGGGTCGAGAACACTTCCTACGTCGACAAGTTCAACTCCAAAGACGAGTAAGTGATAGTGAGGTGTTTGGTGAATTAGTCTTGTAGTTAGGTCTTTCGAATGGGTTTGTGGGTGAATCAGGTGCGTTTGAATTGCATCACTAGAATCAGGGTTAGGTTAAATGGAGATCGGAATGCTTTGCCGTCTTTCAATTTTGAGAGTGTTTGTGGGAGTCGTTTATATTTGATCAATAGATTTAAGGGAGGTTAAAATCGATAGGAGCCCTGGTTGAAGAAAAGGAAGGGATGTCAAACTTGTTTTGTCATACAGCTTATACTACAGATAAATTCAATTTGTTATTTTAAGGATGGGAATCAATCCCATGAGAAGTCTTAAACACATTTAGAGTGATCAAATGAATCAGTATGCCATGTAATTGAAATAGAAACAGCTAAAGTAATCTGGCCTAGTAAGAATTATCCATCTCAGGCTGTCCAAATTTTTTTAAGACTCAAATGTAATTTAGCATACAAATTTCATCTCTTTAGATCTTTCTGGAATGTGATGGCAAAAATAAAGAATCACTGACGATACGCAGACTAAAGGAACTGTTTTATTGCCATCGTAACGTTTAATGTGCCATTTTAAAGGCCAGGGTGAGCAGTCTGCTTCCGTTCACTATAAAACGACCCTCTCTTCTATTCAAGTCACTTAAAGAATTATGCATTGGCACAAGTTATCATGAGACAGACAAAAATTTGGAAAAACCCAATATGCCCGTGTCAGATATCGTTGTTAGTACAAATTAACAACCGTATAAATCGTCTTTGTCTTAGGTCCCAAACGATAAGGAGGAATAACAATGTTTTAAGACATTTTATTTTAAAATTTTACTTTAAAATATGAATGTAGGCTATAATGTTTTGAATAGAATCCCTTTTTTGTTCTCACAAAACCGATAAATCTCGTTTATTTCTCTCATCCTAATCCACCAAAAGAGCTAGGGTTGGTGGTCCGTCCCATAATATACATTCTTGGAGAGTATCTTTACATTTGATCCTTTTCGTATTGTGGCTATTAAAAAATTTTTTGAATTGGATCAATTTCTTTATTATTTAGGCGTATCGTAATTGTGGTCCACAGTTAGAACTGAAGGATTGTTGTCGTTCTCCCCCGAGCAGAGTAAAAATATCTAAACGATGATAAAAATTTCAAGTTTGGAAATAAGTCAGGTTTTTTAAAGGGGTAAGATGAATTTTGGGTAAAAAGTCTTTGTTTCGTGTGAAGACAAAAATGATAAAATATGAACAGTGTTGTAGAATAGGCACACAGATAAGGGTAAAAACCCATGACACTTCAACGTGAAAATTTCGTTCGTTCATAGGAAAAAATTGTGATTTGTGAAAAATACAGTGTTTTTAAAAGTTTTACACATTTTATATAGTATTTTTAGATTAAATTAGACGATAGAAATATGTAGTGAAATTTGCTTAGCCTTTGTAGTTTTTTATTAAAAATTCGTTTAGTTGAAGTACAAATGTTATATAGTTATAAGCTTTCTAACTAGTTTATATTCTTTACCTAATATTAATATATTATCATATTTAGTTTGTTTAAGCATAGGTCCTCTTGAATAGATGTTATTTCAATAATAGAAGCAGGGACACTTTCGAGGAGATAGACGAACGGAAGAATCAGTATCTTTTACCTACAACAAATTCTGGATATTTTACTAAGGTCTCTGGGTTCAAAATCTACTTGTGTATAATATTCTAATTATATGTCATTGTACTTCAAGGAGTTTTAAAACTTTATCAAAACATTTTTTTGGCCAACAACTAACTTTTTTCCACCTACAGGGACAAATAAACTTGTTTTATAAAATTATTTAATGATAACTAAGTAACTTTGACACATTATCTTTTTATGTCACCTTTCATTTTAAGATGGAGGCAAGAATGTCCGTAACAAATGTAACAGGCAATAAAAGACAATAAAATAATAAAAAATGCTACTAGAGACACTTGAGCGTGGAAGAAATCGCATAAATATTATTATATCAAATTTATCAAATATAAATGTTTTAGCAAGGGGTTTCCAAGAAACCATTATTTCCAGCAAGATCATCTAAGATTATAAATAAGCTTATCAGATTTTTTTTAATAGTTTCTTATTGTATTGGAGCAAATAATTTTCCATTTTCCTCTTTATTAGACAATATTTGAAACTGTTATGTTGGGTTAGTTTAAATATTGATAGCAGCTAACATGAACTATTGTACTAAAACACAGTAAGAGTGTCTTTATACAAAACCATAAATTGTATAAGTTTAGCTCTATATGCAATAAAACCTATTTTGTTTGTTGAATGTCCATCCATCGCAATGCATGCTTTCAAAGCCTTACCACGTTGAAATAGAACTGGAGATGTTGTAGTTTATATCACGTATTATTTGTATAAAAGCATTTTTGCACTTTACCTTAACTAGGAGTAGAACAGCAGAATCTCACCTTAAGGGAATTTTGACCGATCCTTAATTTATTGAAAATAAAAATAGTATAAAATTACAAATAACACCACCCTTAAGACTCGTACTTCATGCATATTGAATTACATAACAATTAATTATTACTGTGTATTGATTCAACTTCATATACGACTGTGCTTTTCTTGGGCCAGGGTCAGAATTTATATTTTTTATTTTGGAATAAACTAATGTATACGTCTAATGTATTTCATCATAAAAACGCTAAAAAATTACCATACTAGAACTACCCTACGGGTTAAAAGAATTAATTTGTTCTTCATTGCAACATTGTCATGTAATTTTCACGCACAATTCTTCGTGAGGAAGCAGCATTTCAAGGCATAAAAGCATTTTTACTCATTTGTAATGTTCTACTATTTTTTAGGTTGAGTTTTTTTTTCAGAAATACGTTGAAACATTAGATTGAATGTGAGAAAAATACTATGAAATTATCTGAGATTTTTGGAGAGCGATTAATTGAAGAATAATAATTGTTCTGTTACGTAAAATTGAGAAATCTTATTTAATTAGGTGTGATTGATTAGGCCTAGTGGGAGCGTTTCATAAACTCCAAATTTCACAAACTCCAACGCTTAAAATATTAAATGAACAGCGCGTTTCATAATGTCCAAATTTCATAAGCTCCAAAACTATAACATTCAAATAATCACTGTTTCACTATGTCCAAGTTTCACAAACTCCAACGTTTAAATATTAAATAAACAGAGCGGTTCATAACCTCTAAATTTCATAAACTCCAAATCTATAACATTCAAATAATCACTGTTTTACAATGTCCAAGTTTCACAAACTCCAACGTTTAGATACCAAATAAACAGAGCGGTTCATAATGTCCAAATTTCATAACCTCCAACGGTACAGTCTGGGCCAGAAGTCTCTCTAGTGGTTGCCACAGTCAGATAGCAGGCACCGTTCACCAGCGCTCAACTACTGATTATACGAACATTCAAGAACACTCAGCTGTGTGACTCAAATATGTGTCAGCACACAATGTGCAAATCAATTTACATTTTATCGAATTTCCCCTATAGGGAATAAGCTATTACCGTAGTACTCATGGCTATTACCGAACCACGGCAACCTCTGCGGCGACTTCTGGCAGAGACTGTACCGTTGGAGCTTATGAAACTTGGAGGTTATGAACCGCTCTGTTAATTTGATATATAAACGTTGGAGTTTGTGAAATTTGGACATTGTGAATCGGTGATTATTTGAAAGTTATAGTTTTGGAGTTTATGAAATTTGGAGGTTATGAAACGCACTGTTTATTTAATATATTAACGTTGGAGTTTGTAAAATTTGGACATTGTGAAACGGTGCTTATTTGAAAGTTATAGTTTTGGAGTTTGTGAAATTTGGAGGTTATGAAACGCACTGTTTATTTAATATTTTAGACGTTGGAGTTTGTAAAATTTGGACATTATGAACCTCACCCGGCCTAGTTGTTATATTTTGAGTTATTAAAAACAAGACTTGGGATGGTTACTGTATTTTTTTTATTTGAGTGATAAATGGGAATGACATACAGTATTTACATTAGGGATTCAAAAGTGATATTATTTTATATAAGGACAAATCAGATATTCTTTTTGATTAAATTGAGATTTTTATTTTATTGAGGGATAAGCTGAGATATGTGAAGCTATCCAGTGACTTGCTGCGTCCTCGCGTTCTGCACTGGTGTCCGCTCACGCACTATGCTTGTCGTTGCAGTGACGAGGAAGAACTGGACGAATACGAGGAGGAGGAAGAGGAGTACTGATCCAGTCTGCACCGGCTTCCCATCCTCCCATCGGTCCAATCCTAGGCCGAGGAAGCCGTGGCTCTTCCGCAGTGTCAAATATGCATACCTCGCGATTGTGTCATAACTCCGAATTTCGATGTTATAGGAATTGTCTCATAGTACAGAATGATGTGTTAAATTTCGGTGTTATAACACCATTCGGTGCTATAAGACAATTCCTATGACACCGAAATTTGAGAATTAACATCAAAATCTTCAATTAAGTGACTATTGGAATTTTTCGTCAGTATTTATACCCGTTTAATTTGAATTGCTCATGAACTACTTTTGCTCAATCCAAGCAATATTATTTTGGTTTAACCACATACATACTAATTCAAAAGGTACTATAAGTGTTTCTTACAAGACATCAGTCACCGAAACATTCCGTTATTTCCCTAATTCTTTAACTATTTTAGCATGTATAACAGTTATCAACTCACTTAAGCACCAAACCTATTTCTCAATCACTTTATTCACTATTCCGACACAAACTATTGCCCTAGTCTCTAAAATAGTGACATTTTAAGTACAATACATGTGTAAATTATTTATTGTATATACACTGTTTATTATCGAAGGAATTGCAACTGTTCTGTGCATACACCGATAGCTAGATTCTAATGTCTTCCGACATTTTAGTTCACACATTTCTTCCATCTTTACCATTCTATATTTAATTTGATCGGTGTCAGAACCCAACATATTTGTGTTCTTAAGATATTTTCATCAGATCACATTCACTGCCACGAGTATTTTTATTTTTGTTGTTGGACTTGATCTGAAACTGACGTTGATACAGAAAATCTAATAATCTCAAATGTATCTTTTGTTTTCCTGATAATTTTCTTCTATGCTATCTTTCTTATTTTTTTATCGATCACTTAATTGATTCTAAATTGCGGCAAAATATTACTTTGATGTTTCCAATCAACATTCATTTTTCTCTAATACAGTCTTCCGCTGGAACTGATGGTTTTTGGTCGCTTGGAAGAAATGAACTGAAATGCTATAAAATTTGAATAGTTACGATTTCACATTTTAAGATCGAGTTATCTCATCCAATCAACCACTAGGTATGCGTATAAATCAATTAATGATTGGGTACATGATTGTATGCTAAGTTACTAAACATAAGTTGGTGTTTCGACTTTTATATTGAAACGTTTGCTGTTTGATAAATAAATGTGAATTTGTACTCTGTGGATTTTGGATTGTGTTTCGTGTACTGAGGAAGTAGTATTATTAGCATATATATGCATTAAGTTGCTATCGTTGGGATGTCTAGGATTATATTGAAAGAACTGAGGTAAAGCTAATTTCCTGTCGGTTTACCATATAATTTAATTAACCGTGATATTCAATTAAACCCAAATTCCCGCTTTTAAGAAAGAAACTTAATTCACAGGTTAAATTAGTTACACGTTTTATATTAATTTTCTTTTAAGTGTTTTTAAGTATAAAACTTTTTTTATTTAAATATATTTAACTTAACACATTTAGGCAACAACCCATAGGTAACTTGAAATGCAGTAAGAAGTTTTTGAGTTTTCATAAAACAGCTAGTATATAATATTAAGTACTAAGTTTTGAATTCGTTTAAATATTCTGTCTTATTAACCGCACATAAGGATGGTTGTGATGAATTGCTCAACGGTAAAACATAATCAAGGCATGTGAATGCACTCTACACATATTGTTTAAAAAGACCATCAATTAATTAAACAGAAAAGTCAAATTAAACATTGAATTACATTCTGCCTCTTAATCTTTCTTCCCTTTCCTTCCTTGACCATATTGTTTTAATAAATTTTAAATTATTTAACTACACAAAGAATGTTGTACATATTATTTACAAGGAATTATGATTTCCACAATTTACTGACTCAATTTGCTTCCGATGCCTTAAGGATTCGTGTTAATATTGTGTAAACATTTCTGTATATAATGTATATTTCGTCAGTGTTAATGAATGGGTGTAAGTAATTTGTTATTGTTTTTCGATTTAAATGTGAAAGTATATGACATAACGGTTATTTTGAAAATAGCCAATCGCCCAAAGTTTACATAAATTGTTACCATATCATCTTGTTCATATTCATGGAAAGGTATGTTTGGATTTATTGTTGTTTAATTTAAATCTGTAGAGCTTGTTAACAAAACCCAATGCGTTGGGATGATCTTCAATCTATAGAAAAAGATTTATAATAAAAACAATTAACAACTTAATAATATCAATAATTTATTTGAATATGTTAAGGTAAATAATTCGAACTACATAAATTAGAAACCACGTCATGTGATTTGAAAAATAATCACTATGGTGTCAAAAATTTCCTGTGATGATGTAATAAGCATTAATTTACATATTGAGTTTTTTACTTTGCTACATTGCAGCTTAAGAAAACCATGCAAGTTATTTAAATTCTTTGATAGTTATTTTAGATGATTATAACATGTTTTATATTATATTACCTTTTATCAGAACAACAGGGTTTCAATCATAATACCGAATAGAAAGTTTACAACGGATTGTCGAAGTTACTTACGTAATACCTAATAATAATATTATCGTTACTGTATTTATATTATAGGTACTTTCAAGTACCAAAGACGACTACATCTGGCTTGTCACCGGCCATGTAAACTGTTATCAAATAACTCCATAGAGTATAACACTGTAGAGATAAGTAGTGATAAGGGAGGGTGGCAAAAGACAATACTGTACTCACTTCTGCAAATCACTAGTTTCATTCATGCATTCAAGTCACGTGTACACATCATTAATAAATTATTAACTATTAAATGATCTATGCTTTGCAGTTTCGATTATTAAATATCTTACATTTTCTGTGTGTATTGTTATTCCTCCCGCTCTAAAACAATTTATAATTTATTGAAAACATTCTATTCTCTATTACGTGTGTAGAGGTTCTACTATGTAGAGTCTCTATGTGTTTAGAGGTTCTACTATATAGAGGCTCTATGTGTGTAGAGGTTCTATGTGTGTAGAAGTTCTACTATGTAGAGGCTCTATGTGTGTAGGGGTTCTACTATGTAGAGTCTCTATGTGTGTAGAGGTTCTACTATGTAGAGTCTCTATGTGTGTAGAGGTTCTACTATGTAGAGTCTCTATGTGTTTAAAGGTTCTACTATGTAGAGTCTCTATGTGTGTAGGGGTTCTACTATGTAGAGTCTCTATGTGTGTAGAGGTTCTACTATGTAGAGTCTCTATGTGTTTAGAGGTTCTACTATATAGAGGCTCTATGTGTGTAGAGGTTCTACTATGTGGAGGCTCTATGTGTGTAGAGGTTCTACTATGTGGAGGCTCTATGTGTGTAGAGGTTCTACTATGTAGAGTCTCTATGTGTTTAGAGGTTCTACTATATAGAGGCTCTATGTGTGTAGAGGTTCTATGTGTGTAGAAGTTCTACTATGTAGAGGCTCTATGTGTGTGGGGGTTCTACTATGTAGAGTCTCTATGTGTGTAGAGGTTCTACTATGTAGAGTCTCTATGTGTGTAGAGGTTCTACTATGTAGAGTCTCTATGTGTTTAGAGGTTCTACTATGTAGAGTCTCTATGTGTTTAGAGGTTCTACTATGTAGAGTCTCTATGTGTGTAGGGGTTCTACTATGTAGAGTCTCTATGTGTGGAGAGGTTCTACTATGTAGAGTCTCTATGTGTTTAGAGGTTCTACTATATAGAGGCTCTATGTGTGTAGAGGTTCTACTATGTGGAGGCTCTATGTGTGTAGAGGTTCTACTATGTAGAGGCTCTATGTGTGTAGAGGTTCTACTATGTAAAGTCTCTATGTGTGTAGAGGTTCTAATATGTAGTTGCTCTATGTGTGTAGAGGTTCTACTATGTAGAGGCTCTATGTGTGGAGGTTCTACTTTGTAAAGTCTCTATGTGTGTAGAGGTTCTACTATGTGGAGGCTCTATGCGTGTCGAGGTTCTACTATGTAGAGGTTCTATGTGTGTAGAGGTTATACTATGTAGAGGCTCTATGTGTGTAGAGGTTCTACTATGTAGAGGCTCTATGTGTGTAGAGGTTCTACTATGTAGAGGCTCTATGTGTGTAGAGGTTCTACTATGTAGAGTCTCTATGTGTGTAGAGGTTCTACTATGTGGAGGCTCTATGCGTGTCGAGGTTCTACTATGTAGAGGTTCTATGTGTGTAGAGGTTATACTATGTGGAGGTTCTATGTGTGTAGAGGTTCTACTATGTGGTGGCTCTATGCGTGTCGAGGTTCTACTATGTAGAGGTTCTATGTGTGTAGAAGTTCTACTATGTAGAGTCTCTATGTGTGTAGGGGTTCTACTATGTAGAGTCTCTATGTGTGTAGAGGTTCTACTATGTAGAGTCTCTATGTGTTTAGAGGTTCTACTATGTAGAGTCTCTATGTGTTTAGAGGTTATACTATGTAGAGGCTCTATGTGTGTAGAGGTTCTACTATGTAGAGTCTCTATGTGTGTAGAGGTTCTACTATGTGGAGGCTCTATGCGTGTCGAGGTTCTACTATGTAGAGGCTCTATGTGTGTAGGGGTTCTACTATGTAGAGTCTCTATGTGTGTAGAGGTTCTACTATGTAGAGTCTCTATGTGTGTAGAGGTTCTACTATGTAGAGTCTCTATGTGTTTAGAGGTTCTACTATATAGAGGCTCTATGTGTGTAGAGGTTCTACTGTGTGGAGGCTCTATGTGTGTAGAGGTTCTACTATGTAGAGTCTCTATGTGTTTAGAGGTTCTACTATATAGAGGCTCTATGTGTGTAGAGGTTCTATGTGTGTAGAAGTTCTACTATGTAGAGGCTCTATGTGTGTGGGGGTTCTACTATGTAGAGTCTCTATGTGTGTAGAGGTTCTACTATGTAGAGTCTCTATGTGTGTAGAGGTTCTACTATGTAGAGTCTCTATGTGTTTAGAGGTTCTACTATGTAGAGTCTCTATGTGTTTAGAGGTTCTACTATGTAGAGTCTCTATGTGTGTAGGGGTTCTACTATGTAGAGTCTCTATGTGTGTAGAGGTTCTACTATGTAGAGTCTCTATGTGTTTAGAGGTTCAACTATATAGAGGCTCTATGTGTGTAGAGGTTCTACTATGTGGAGGCTCTATGTGTGTAGAGGTTCTACTATGTAGAGGCTCTATGTGTGTAGAGGTTCTACTATGTAAAGTCTCTATGTGTGTAGAGGTTCTAATATGTAGTTGCTCTATGTGTGTAGAGGTTCTACTATGTAGAGGCTCTATGTGTGGAGGTTCTACTTTGTAAAGTCTCTATGTGTGTAGAGGTTCTACTATGTGGAGGCTCTATGCGTGTCGAGGTTCTACTATGTAGAGGTTCTATGTGTGAAGAGGTTCTACTATGTAGAGGCTCTATGTGTGTAGAGGTTCTACTATGTAGAGGCTCTATGTGTGTAGAGGTTCTACTATGTAGAGTCTCTATGTGTGTAGAGGTTCTACTATGTGGAGGCTCTATGCGTGTCGAGGTTCTACTATGTAGAGGTTCTATGTGTGTAGAGGTTATACTATGTGGAGGTTCTATGTGTGTAGAGGTTCTACTATGTGGAGGCTCTATGCGTGTCGAGGTTCTACTATGTAGAGGTTCTATGTGTGTAGAAGTTCTACTATGTAGAGGTTCTATGTGTGTAGAGGTTCTACTATGTGGAGGCTCTATGCGTGTCGAGGTTCTACTATGTAGAGGTTCTATGTGTGTAGAGGTTATACTATGTAGAGGCTCTATGTGTGTAGAGGTTCTACTATGTAGAGGCTCTATGTGTGTAGAGGTTCTACTATGTAGAGTCTCTATGTTTGTAGAGGTTCTACTATGTAGAGTCTCTATGTGTGTAGAGGTTCTACTATGTAGAGGCTCTATGTGTGTAGAAATTCTACTATGTAGAGGTTCTGTGTGTGTAGAAGTTCTACTATGTAGAGGTTCTATGTGTGTAGAGGTTCTACTATGTAAATGCGTGGATGGTGCTTTAAATAAACGTGTTTATTAACCTTTTGATTCTGGAATTTGATGAAAATGATCTTCCGCTTGAAATAATAGCCCTAGTACAGTAATTTCCAAATCGTATAAAATTAAAAAGTTATAGTGTACTACTATAACTTTCTACTATGTACTAATACTACACTACTACTATGTGTGTCTATGTGTGTGGGGGTTCTACTATGTACCCCCACACATGTATGTAGAGCCCTTGCTCTACATGGTTTTTTTTGCTTAAATGGTTTTTATGTTAATTTTGATTAGCTGGTTATCAAAATTTAATTTGGTGTAGTTGTAGTGAATAGGTGTTATTTGTAAGAATTCATTCTTGATGCCTGGTTTCTGTTGGTAACTTTAATGGTGGTGTTACATTTGTCTATGTAAGTATGTAAAGATTTTTGAAAATATATTCAAATACAAGTGAGCTTTGATCGGTCCCATGGTCACTAGCAATGATTAAATACTAATAAGAAAAACACATGGATAAAATTGGATAATATTTGTATGTAGTTGATCCCATGATAATTTAACAGAAATCCACAGTTCAAGTTAAAAAAAAACGTCTTCAATATTTTAAGAAGGAAGTAAATAAGGTCACCGTTGTTGCCTTTTGTGAATAAACATTTCTTGGCAAGCGAGGAAAATAATTTGATGGGGCAAGTCCAAACACGACGAGCCCATTACAGAAAATCGATGCCTGCTTGAAATCAAATGAGACCAAAGCCGAGAAGGTTGTTCTTAATTTCCTCACAGCCTTACAATGATAAACTTTACTGAAAGCTTTTACATTCATTCAAATATTTTACTAGATAGACTGAAAATAGAATATATCCAATGTTGTTATATGAAAAATTAACAGTGATTTTGTTTATATGATCTGAAAGATATATAATCAATTTGATATCATAAGAAAAATCTTCATTCCAACGTTTTAGTGGCAAACAAGAGATATAATGTAAAACAAACACAAACCTGTTTTAATTCAACCCAAGTAATTTGGCTTACAGTAAATCATGCCCCACCCACGGGGAAAGAGTTCGCAAATGTAACTTTTCGTAACATTATTATTTTTTAAATGATACCTTAATGATGTAAAAATAAAATGTAGTTTAGTTATAAACTAACATACGATTACTTACTATCAGTTTTGTTTCAATTGTTAATTATTTGACCTATTTAGGGGGTTAAACTTTAAGTGAACACTCTTGCCCCAAGCTCCTATACAGGAAATAAATGCATGCAAACTCATTTTCTATGTATCACCATTTTATTAGTAATTTATTAAACATCAAATTATGCAGCCAAAACTAAAAACTGTGCCCATGCTTTGTCTTCCACCAATAGTCTTCTCGCAAGTTTAATTCTTTTTTGTCATCTTGTCATTACAACTTGATTGACTTTTTTCTGTTAACTGATTTAGATTATTATTTTAAATTTGAAAATACTGATCACGTTCCTCCAAAATGACACTCTTCTTACTGTTACTTGAAAACCTTTTCGATGGAATTTATACTGGTCCTCAGGAATAATTAATTTTCAATTTTAGTTTATAAAATATTAAAAACTGAAAAACTGAGTCTGAATTCCTAAAACATTTGAAGGTGACCTTACACATTTTCTCAGAGTACCAAAAATGCCAGTTTTTCTGTCAATTTTTGCTTGGATAATTGAATTGTTTTGACATTATCGAAAAAAAATATTCATATATATACATACACTACATGTATACATACATATTATACAGGGTGATTGATATAAGTGTGCCAGCTATTTTATTCGAAAGTTATAAGAGATATAACAAAATGTTAAATTATAACTGCCTTGGATTTTTTATGTAAAAAACGTTGGTCAAGTTCAACAAATAATTTTAGCCGCCATTTTTCCAATATGGCCACCAACTTGGATTTTTCTTATAGAAGACCCTATATTTTATGATTGTTTTAGAAAGTTAAAAACGTTTTTATCATTGGAATTTTTTCTCTAAAGCTACTCGTTTAGGAGTTACGGCGTGTTAAAACTAAGAAAAAATGACTTGCTGTGTACATTCTGCATCATGTAGCTCCTAAACGAGTATGTTTAGAGCGAAAATGCAACGAGTAAAAAAGTCTTAAAATTGCATCTAGATTCTAACCAGATCATAACACACATAAAAATATTGATTCCATTGTTTCAAAAATGGCCACCATTTTCAAAAATGGCAGGGAAATTTGAAAATTGGAAACACGTGTATTTTATGGTCTTTTTAGGGGTTTCCATAAGAAAAATCCAAGTTGGCGGCCATATTGGAAAAATGGTGGCTAAAATTATGTTTTGACTTGACCAAAATTTTTTAAATACAAAATCCAAGGCAGTTACAATTTAACATTTTGTTATAATATAATATATAGTACATATATAGTACATTCATTCATTTTCTTCTCTTATTTTATTCAAAATGAATTCCTTCTATGCCTTTTAATATTTTCAATCGCAGAGCTTTAGAAAAATATCAAAGGGAAATCATTGTGGTTATTAAGATTGATATCATTCATCTGTTTGCTGGAATAGCACGAGTGTTTGAAGTGTCCGCAAGAGGAGGTCGCGACCTGGTTTTATCGAGCGCTGAGAACACAGTGTCAGTGGCGCTACCTGTAGCGGAGAGAGGAACTAAAAATAGTCAATTTGTGTCGCTCCTAGCGGAGACAGTTATAACTACCTCACATAAAGCAATCTGCCGGTGAAGGCTGGTACTTCTTGCACAAATACATGTGTCTGTGTGTGTGTTTACGGACAGTTGTTTTCAAATTATTTGTTGTTTAGTTACTTTCTCTAGAATTTGGTATGTGGATACTAACTAATTCATGGTAACTTTAGGTATTTTTCAGTTTTTTTATTTTTTTTATTTTAATGGTAGTTTTTTTTCAAAACAACCATAAAATAATAAGAAAAGCGTGTTTTCAAATGGCCCGACCGATTATTGATTTAAATTTAGTATGTTATGATTGTTTCAACTCTAAAGAAAATGGCACAATCCTCATTGCTGTAAAAATTACAGTTAAAAAGTTATTAATTTTCCCATTAAATATCATACGTAGTCCCACTGCTTACCAATGATGAGGGTTGTTGACTAGCTAAAGGGAAAGGTATGTGTCAGATTGCAGATACCGTATCTTTAAAAATTTAATTAATTATTGTCTAATATAGGAATAATAATAAATACCCCCGCCGCAGCAAACCTGCAGACTAAGCGAATTTCCATTAGCCTGATAGGATTTCACATTAAAATGCCTCCTTAAAAATATCATATTTATTCCCTATTTAAATAGAATTAGTTTAACGAGTACTTAGGTTTGCTGCCACAGGGAGGGTAAAAAGGTGTTTTTTTATGTTAATAGTTTAGTAAGAAATGAATGTATTTTCCAAATTCGATCAAAATATGTTCATAAACAAGTAAACTACACCAGTTTACTTATTCTCCATAAGAATAACATAGGGATTTTAAATTTACAATTTATTGGAATTTCCCCTGTAACCATTAGGCGCACAATAACGCTTCAATATACTAAATTATTTGGTTTTTTAAGCTCTACAAAATGGATTGGAAATAAATTGTAAAATTTTGTGTTTTTAGGGTCAAAAATGGGAAAACCCTATTTTTACCCCATAAAACCCCCCATAAACCCCCGTTCCCATAGTCCGATCATGCTGGTTCGCGAACTCGTTCGAATAAATGTAGGTTTACACGTTTGTACCAAATTTCATCAAAATCGGACCATTTTTGCTCGAGTTATCGTGCTGACGGACACATATATATATGAATTTGAACGGATGGTGTTTTTGGCCTCTAGGGACCTCAAAACGAAAAAATAAATCGGTCCCGGGTGTCTACCATGAGTACTACGGTAATAGGTTATTCCCTATATGGGAAATTCGCTAAAACAAATTATCAGAAGAATTATGACCTTAAAATACTAAAACATCTAAATACAGCTAACCTAAAGCATAGTAGGATAAATTAAATTAGTTTAATGTTGTTACAGTGCCATTATTTTTAACCATTATTATTGCAATAAGATAAAGACAGACAAATGAAATTATATGTTAGTAACGCGTACACGTGATTGTCATACAAATAAGTATAATGAACATCTTTGCTCTTTTGTTTAAGAAATACAATCGTTACCTGTATTGTAAAATCTTTTGAAGTAAATTGTAAAAAACCCTACTGATATGTATTGGCAATAAAACATATTGAAAAAAGGTAGGTTCATTTTAAGTACAAACTTAAGAATTAAAATTGAATCCAAACTTATGAGCTTTAATTTACAACTCCAGCAGGTGGCTCTATCTGCTTGATTGCAACGCAACCTAGTGGCGACGGACGGGACTAGAGCGCAGACGCAATCAGTTTCCTAGGTAACCGTGCCACTCCGCACGCACGCAGCCAGAGTACAACAGGTGACGCGAAACCGTCACCAGTGTAGCTACGCACTAACCTCCCCCGTGCCCAGGTACATATTGTAGCTGTGTTGTAGTTTTAGTCAGGAGTGTGTAGTACGAGGTGACTGTGTCTGGTATTAGCTGAACATCAACATAGCACAACAGATGGTGTGTAGTGTATAGGTAGTCCGTGTAGCTACGCACTAACCTCCCCTGTGCCCAGGTACATATTGTAGCTGTGTTGTAGTTTTAGTCAGGAGTGTGTAGTACGAGGTGACTGTGTCTGGTATTAGCTGAACATCAACATAGCTCAACAGGTGGTGTGTAGTGAATAGGTAGTCCGTGTAGCTACGCACTAACCTCCCCTGTGCCCAGGTACATATTGTAGCTGTGTTGTAGTTTTAGTCAGGAGTGTGTAGTACGAGGTGACTGTGTCTGGTATTAGCTGAACATCAACATAGCTCAACAGGTGGTGTGTAGTGAATAGGTAGTCCGTGTAGCTACGCACTAACCTCCCCTGTGCCCAGGTACATATTGTAGCTGTGTTGTAGTTTTAGTCAGGAGTGTGTAGTACGAGGTGACTGTGTCTGGTATTAGCTGAACATCAACATAGCTCAACAGGTGGTGTGTAGTGTATAGGTTCGTCAGTGTAGCTACGCACTAACCTCCCCCGTGCCCAGGTACATATTGTAGCTGTGTTGTAGTTTTAGTCAGGAGTGTGTAGTACGAGGTGACTGTGTCTGGTATTAGCTGAACATCAACATAGCTCAACAGGTGGTGTGTAGTGAATAGGTAGTCCGTGTAGCTACGCACTAACCTCCCCTGTGCCCAGGTACATATTGTAGCTGTGTTGTAGTTGTAGTCAGGAGTGTGTAGTACGAGGTGACTGTGTCTGGTATTAGCTGAACATCAACATTGCTCAACAGGTGGTGTGTAGTGAATAGGTACGTTAGTGTAGCTACGCACTAACCTCCCCCGTGCCCAGGTACATATTGTAGCTGTGTTGTAGTTGTAGTCAAGAGTGTAGTACGAGGTGACTGTGTCTGGTATTAGCTGAACATCAACATAGCTCAACAAGTGGTGTGTTGTGTATAGGTACGTCAGTGTAGCTACGCATTAACCTCCCCTGTGCCCAGGTACATATTGTAGCTGTGTTGTAGTTGTAGTCAAGAGTGTAGTACGAGGTGACTGTGTCTGGTATTAGCTGAACATCAACATTGCTCAACAGGTGGTGTGTAGTGAATAGGTACGTTAGTGTAGCTACGCACTAACCTCCCCCGTGCCCAGGTACATATTGTAGCTGTGTTGTAGTTGTAGTCAAGAGTGTAGTACGAGGTGACTGTGTCTGGTATTAGCTGAACATCAACATAGCTCAACAAGTGGTGTGTTGTGTATAGGTACGTCAGTGTAGCTACGCATTAACCTCCCTTGTGTCCAGGTACATATTGTAGCTGTGTTGTAGTTGTAGTCAAGAGTGTAGTACGAGGTGACTGTGTCTGGTATTAGCTGAACATCAACATAGCTCAACAAGTGGTGTGTTGTGTATAGGTACGTCAGTGTAGCTACGCATTAACCTCCCTTGTGTCCAGGTACATATTGTAGCTGTGTTGTAGTTGTAGTCAAGAGTGTAGTACGAGGTGACTGTGTCTGGTATTAGCTGAACATCAACATAGCTCAACAAGTGGTGTGTTGTGTATAGGTACGTCAGTGTAGCTACGCACTAACCTCCCTTGTGTCCAGGTACATATTGTAGATGAGTTGTAGTTGTAGTCAGGAGTGTGTAGTACGAGGTGACTGTGTCTGGTATTAGCTGAACATCAACATAGCTCAACAGGTGGTGTGTAGGTGAATAGGTAGGTGTAGTGAAGGTGTAGGAATAGGTCAGTGTAGCTACGCACTAACCTCCCCCGTTCCCAGGTACATATTGTAGCTGTACTGTAGTCAGGTGTATGTAGTACGAGGTGACTGTGTCTGGTATTAGCTGAACATCAACATAGCTCAACAGGTGGTGTGTAGTGAATAGGTACGTCAGTGTAGCTACGCACTAACCTCCCCTGTGTCCAGGTACATATTGTAGCTGTACTGTAGTCAGGTGTATGTAGTACGAGGTGACTGTGTCTGGTATTAGCTGAACATCAACATAGCTCAACAGGTGGTGTGTAGTGAATAGGTAGTCCGTGTAGCTACGCACTAACCTCCCCTGTGTCCAGGTACATATTGTAGCTGTAGTGCTGTAGTGTAGTCAGTATTGTGTAGTATGCGGTGACTAAATGGTAGTAATTTAATTTGTAGTCGAATTTTTAATTGTAACTGGATGACCGAAGGTAAATAAACCATTTTTCATTCCTAACCACTTCAGAGGCATTTCCACAAATATCATGATGCCAAAAAAATAAATATTGTCCATGGCGTATTCGATTAACAAATCGAATACATTCCTCCCTTGTAGAAGTAGTATCCAAGAGGTTAAAACCAAGCAAATTAAGTCCTTACCATAAGCAACATAATTTTACATTGATCGTTTGACTGATCTATTACACCTTACAAATATTTGAAGGAAGGAAATAAGATTTTGAACAATAATATCGCATTAATGAAAAAATATAAATTCTTCTTACCTGATTTCATATTAAAGTATACCACATTGTACATTTCACATGTTCTATACTTGGGTTTTCAAGTTCTGAAGTAAAGTTCTCTTGTCAAGACTTTGTAGACAAGTTTAACTCCCTGTAAGAATCTGAGAGCTCGTGTAAGATGTTATCATTTATGCATCACAGTTTCGTGTCTAAAGCCAATCCAGTCTTGTCTCATGTAGTGATTGTATCTTAGTTCAGGTGTTTGTTCTACATCTTAAACAATGTCAACGTTTATCCACTTATAAATAAATCAACATTGGTAAATTAAATGTATAATTCTTAGATCAAAATTCTATATTAGTTTCTTCCCTGTAGGGAATTTCTTTTAGAAATTGACAGAAATATACAGGAAATAAGTTGTTTATTAAAAGATGTTTTCTTTAAAATTAGTGTTTGGCTTGATAAATGACCAGTTTTTAAAACTAACAACAAAACCTAAAATGGCTTTCAGTTTAAATCAGTAATTAATTACTTGTAAATCTAAAGATATAAACTCACATTAGACTTTATCATCTTGGTAGGAACTAGGGTAACTATTGGGAAGATAACCACGCCCACGACGGGAAATATATTCTTCTGTGAAGTGAGATTGGCAACAATACAATCAGCTGGGTCTCAAGTTGCAGCTAAATATTTTTGAGATAATTTTTTTTATATTTATTTACTTATTTATTTATTTATTTCGACAGCAATTGCCAATTTACAAAATAATACATGAGATAGATATACATGCAACAAGATTTCAAAATACAAAAGAAAATATGGTATGGATGCGTAAGAAATTATGGTGCACTAATGACTTTCCCCGAGCAAATCTTGGTCCCCAGGTACTTATATACAGTTTAAAATATACTTTATATTATACTTTATACAGTTCAAAATATACTTTATATCATACTTTATACAGTTAAAAAACCAACAGGAATAAAAAAAACAGAAATAATAAAATAAATATGAATAAAATCGGAAAGAAAACAACAAGCCCTTTACAAAAATAAACCAATCACTAACATAACATAAACCTGATTCCGGCATATCAATAAAGATGGTTTCTCCAATAGGTAGTATACTTCATTCATCCACCCATTGAACATTAAATCATTGGCTTTGAATACTTCCCTTTGACTTCTCATACAACTGTAAAGTCTAAAAATAGTTTCAAGTATGTGTTCATTTACATCTGAGTGCGCTCATGTAGACTAGTTTTAGAGTTAGTTAGACAGTGGGCACTTACAATAGCAGAACTCAATCAATTGTTTGGTTATATAATGATTATTTTATTCAATTGGTTTCAAAATTGGCAAAAAAATACTATAAATCAATGGGAACCATACAAAAATATTTTACACATACCGAACAGAAACACACCTTAACCCATCTTTAATTTATCCATTACGGTACATCAAAACATTACATGAATTAGGATGTTATTTTCAACATGATAAATTTTATTTTGTATCTGTTACTGACTTAGAAAATTGTTTAAATGTTTCAATTCAAATCCAGGAGTTTTGATAGTTCTAAAAATTGTCGACTTCTCAAAATGTACTTTGAGGTTCGTAACTTTTGACACGACTATAAACAATACTCGTGTGTGTTTGGCCACATGTTGATACTGTACAGTAACTTTTTACATAATCGAGCTGAATAATACTATTAACATGCGGACCACGGGGGAACAATACAAACTTGTAATGACTCTATTATTGTAACGATCCACAAAACAAACATGTTTTACGTCAGCCAGAGTCTTCTTTATTTTAATTCATCTTTATTTTCCTACAGTCACCTGACAAAGTGGTCTCCCTTGCACTGATTATAGGCACAGAAAGTTGCTAAATGCTGCATCTACTTACTTTTGCCACACACTTTTTTTCTGCCGCTCTCCAGTATTCGAACCAAACAACACAAAACATATTGCTTTTATTAGGCTCGTACGCGTACGCTTGAAAATAAGCTGGCAACACTTACAGTACGATCAGCTGGTGCAGCGTTTCCCATTTCGTTCAATGTTTGGATTTAACCTAACCTAAAAACGTGTTGTTCAGTGTTTGAAAGACTAATTATTTATATGCTTTATAGTAACTGTAGGAAAAATATAATCTACAATATATCTACTCGCCTACGGCTCGTGCGTAAATATTTTCTCTCGTATGCATCAAAGTGCCACTTCACCCACTAGTTTACACAAATAACTGTTTATTTCATACTGTTATTTTTGCATAACGAAAATATTTTTTCATTTCAGTTGATTTTGCATTTAACTCCTGTAAAATGGAAAAAAATATATTATAACAGTTAAGCCGTACCGTATATGAATATTGAATTTTACTTGGAACAATTTGTAAGACAATTTTCAAATAACGAAAAATAGTTAACTGCAGGTAATATTTTTTGGAAGTTTTCCCCCACTGGCAATCATATTTTGATAT